CACTCAACAAGAGTAGCATCCTCATTCTGGGCAGCGATATGCATGAGAGTTTCGAGCGGGTCTGTCGGCTTTGTCTTTACAAAACCTTCTGATCCTGGCTTCACTTCACCACCAGCTGCATCCACATTATCCTCCCACACCCCCTTTTTCACCTTCGCAGTATCACCACTCCTGGCTGCTAGGAACACCTCAGAACGTAGTTTTTGTATGCGTTCTTGCTGTTGACGAGCCTTAGTAGCAGCAGACTTACGCGAGGCCTCAGCTTGCAATTTCTTCTGCGAAGCCTTTGCACGTTGCCTCTGCTCAGCTTCCTTGCGCTCTGTCATATCAATGGGTAAGCAGGGTGCTGAGGGAAATCAGACGGCGTCGCCCACCATTTTCACGCTCTTTCTCCAAACGAGCCTTTCTTTCAGCTTCCTCCATTCCCCGGCGAGCTTGAGCCTCTTCCTGTTCTTCACGCATACGGCGAACGCGGGCGTTGAACTCCTTTTCAGTCTCTGGAGGTGCACGCATTTTGTGATGATGATTATGTTGGAATCCTGGAAACGTGAATCGAATCAAAACCCGAGCAGTCGCCGCTGTGCCACTCACTACTATGAGAGAACCGACTGTCCCTGTTCAGGAGCATCTCTTCGAATAGCCACCTACATGAAGCTTAGGAGTGTTCTTACATCAACGAGGGAGAGACAGAGCTCACATATAGAAGGCCATTCTCTCTTCTTCATCCGAGTCATAGTCCTCGTCGGAATAGTAATCATCATCGTCGCTGTAATATTCATCATACTCGTCGTCGTGGCCATAATGGAAACCAAACGGATAAAAGTGCGAATGTGAATGTGAATGTCGCTCGGGCTCCTCAGATCGATCCAAGTGTTTGAGGAGTATATTGTACGCCTCCCCGATCCGCTGAAATTGTGCGGTCGCGTCCTCGTTTCCAAGATTCTTGTCAGGGTGTGTTTTCAATGCCAGCTATGTCGCTAGTGTCACCGCGACGACTTGAGATAAGCGAAACAGCCGCGACGCACCTGCCTGTAGGTCGATTTAACCACTTCTAACGAAGCGCCCTTTGCCAGAGGTGAATTTTCGGCAGATGAATGAGGAATGAAACGGTGACATACCTGCTCGATACCCAGCGTGCTGTACGCTTCGACGACCGATGCATGTCCGTGAGCCATAGTGACAGTGAGACTAAGTGAAGAAAACAGCGACGCACGCCACTAAAACGCGCCCAAAGGCGCGCATGAACAAAGTGTCGCGTCTGACAGGTCACGTTCCCGTGCACTGATGAGGGCATCTTCAACGACATTTCGACATTTCGACATTTCGCATTTCATGATTTTCATCTTTGCATGTATAAACTCGACGAATCGACATGGTCCTACTGATAGGCTATTATACATCATACCAGGAAAGCAGTCCATGAGTACAACCCCTAGCTATGCAAGCTACTTCGTCCAGCACGAATTGTTGCATCAAGATGAACGAATCAACAGAAACGGTCGCTGGGAAACGACAATTAGAATCCAAATGAAGCCCGGATTGATACAAAATCCACTTACCTCTTGAGCTTCGCGCGTCGGTCGAGAAGTGCTTCAGCAAGTCGCCCTTCTTTCTTCGCTTTCTTCAACTACAAGTGATTGGGGTCAGCGAAAAGCGTTGGAAAAGAGATGGGCACAAACCTCTTTCTTATCCTCTGCGGACAAGACAGAACGACCTGCACCCCAAGCCTGATACGTTTTGCTACATGACGATAAGATCAGCCGAGAACCATATGCAACGTCGTGGACCTACTTCACGGATGCCTCATCAAGGTTGGAGTCCATAGAAAGACCTTCTTTCCTCTTCTTCTCCTCTGCATTGGCTTCCTTTTTGTATTTGCTTTGTATCTTCACCCAGAAGCGTTCACGGAAGCCGACTTCTTCACTATCACCACGCAAAGACATGGTACCTCCGGCCACTTCGTCGACACTGAGATACTTCTCGTATACATTCTGGAAAGCCACCATCCCATCGGGGAATACAACCGGAGTCCACTCCTCTTGTGGACCTCTGGCTTCACGATCGGCAGACACAATCCCATGTTTGTCGCACGACAAGAACTTGCCTTCACCCACTCCAGTACGCAGGTTTATAGTAGATGCACCCGCGATCCGCGTAGTCACCCATACCTGCGATACCTCTGTTGGAGTCCTATCCAGTAAAGCTGCAGGCTGTGTTCCGTCCTCTGTTTTGTCTTTGTCAACAGAGTGTAGAACAATACGACCTCGTGTAGAATCGTACGTGATACAGATTGGTGGATCAGATGGATGAAGAATATAGGTCGGGCCACGAATCTCGATAGCTTGTTCTGGCAGCACCCATGTCTCCGGTGCCTCCTCCTCGTCTTTACGCTTGCGACGGCTGCTGCTACCTCCCTCGTCTCCGTCCTCGCGCTTGCGCTTCTTCTTGGTCTTTTCACCTTTGAATTTGAGCTTTGTGGGCCGAACTTTTTCGGACATCCGTGTCACTTAGCGTCGCGATGAGGACCAAATAGATTCGAGAGCGGAGTGGTGGTTGTGGCTGTTGCGAACAACGCGATCTCGTCATAGGCTTGGGCGTCTGATGCAGACTCTGGCCCAGTCAGGTTCCGTTGCGTGAGAGGATCTGACGTACTTTCCGCATTCGGCAAGGCCTGTGGGCCGTACGAGACTGTTCGCAAAGTCTATACGCAAAGCCCTCAAACTCTGTGGACCGCCGCCGACAATCCTCAAGACCCGCAAGATGAAGTTCAACCCTGGTCAGTTTCTCTTCCTAGATGCTGCTGGGATGCCGCACGATCGTTGGAGGTCGAAGAACTGGCGATAGAACGGTTGGAATGAGATGGATGGCTTCGGTGGGCTTTGGATGTGCTTAGGCGGCAGAGGAACTTGGATCGACATGATATACTCAGGATCGGTATGCTAACATGCCCTTTTCTAATGCTTCAGACACGTCCTCCTCCCGGCGCAAGTCGCGCAAGGCGCACTTCTCGGCTCCCTCCTCCATCCGCCGAAAAATCATGTCCTCTGCCCTGTCGAAGGAGCTCCGCGCCAAGCACAACGTATGTCTAGCGATCCATTCAAAACCTTTTGAAGTCGCTGGTGCTGATTGTAACATGCTCATCTACTCCCGTACAGACTCGATCGATACCTGTGCGCAAGGATGACGAGGTCCGGATTGTGCGGGGCAAATATAAGGGTCGGGAAGGCAAGGTCACCCAGGTGTACCGTAAGAAATGGGTCATTCACGTTGACCGTGTGCAACGTGACAAGTCCAATGGTGCCTCTGTACCCATCGGCATTCACCCCAGCAACGTCGTCATCATCAACTTGAAGCTGGACAAGGACAGGTGCGTTTCTCGCATATTCCAGGACGAGTTGAACTCTAATTTTCTATATCAGGCGGGCAATCCTTGAGCGCAAAGACCGGAAGAAGGCTGCATCAGCAAAGGCGGGCGAGGATGTCGAGATGGTCGACGTGAGTACTATCTTTATCCGCCAGTCTGCATTAGTTAACGATTTACTCCATGAAGTAATCCGTTCTTTCGGCTTTTGTATGTTACTCTCTTGTCTGGCTTTCGCATCGCATTCCAAAACGATCACATGTATGTATGCGCAATCACGCACCCGATATGCTACATGAGCTTTCACCATGCTTCCCTCAATATCATGGGCATATTGAGAAAGCTACAGCCGGTTTGCCGTGCTATCCTTTATGTGGGGACGTTCCATAATACACACCCTTCTAACTAACAGGTTTCCAACTGTGTGTCACGATTTGAGAGGATGTGCGTAATATGGGCTCGGTGAACAGTTCATCGCTACAAATACAATGTGCAAGCTGCCTTCAGAATATGACATCGTCGTCCTTGTCGTCCAGAAGGTCTCCTCCACCCCCAGCTATCATGATATCGTCAACCTCGACATTGCCCGCTGCAGCTAGTCTACGTTGTGTCTCTGCAGCCTCCGCATCTCGTTTCTTCTTGCCTTGTACCTTCTTCAGTCTACAGACATGTGTTAGTGGGTTGCACTTGTCAAGTCATCGCAGGGAGCAAACCTGAAGAACTCCTCTCGGTCCATCTCATCCAGTTCACTGGAAATATACTTGATGGTGTTGTCCAGGCGAGGGATGACCACATGTTCAATGGCATTTACACGGCGGTTTGTCGCTCGGATAACTTCGTCTAGAATGGTGAAAGCGGTCTGGAGGGAAGCTAAATCGACCAGTGTCTCGACCGCTTTGGCATACACTTCTTTGGCACGCAACACTTGCTGACCGCCTCTTCCCAGACCAGTAAGGTTGAAGTCTACAGGCATTGATAAAACTCCGTACGTTATTTCGAAGGTACTTAGAGGACACATCACAACGTACCTGAGCCTTGCGCTCGATCGACTTCAAAGGCAGGTAGGACGACGCCGGAAACGTTCTCCTGCTTTGCCTTCACCTTGAAGGATGCAGATTTGGCTTGTTCTTGTACGAGATATGAGATGTCTCCAGTTGCATATGTAACCTCCGCTAATGAGAAAGATGCTAGTTGCATCACTTTACCCATCTTCCGCTTTGCCTACTCCATGTGTTCGCGCACCGATCAGCACTAGATCATAATCCGAACATGTGGACGTTAAGCACCTCGTCGACCTTCCGTAGGATTGCTCGGAACCGCGTCGTTAAAGCGTCCCTCTTCTTGGCCAACAACGAATGGCCAGTCTGTGCTCCTTTCAGCCGCAACTTCGTATTCGTCAGAGCCATCCGAGTTGGGAAGATGCTTTCTCGGGGACCTGTTCCAGACATCTTGGACGCGTTATGGGAATCGGATCAGAGCAGCTAGAGAGGGCTTCCAAGACGAGGAACGCTTAACGATGAAAGTGTACTTGACTGGAACAATACTAGTACTTGTTTAGTACACGCAGGACCAATGACTGCATACTATACGGTTCATCCGCGTGCTACGATAATAAATAGATGAATTACCTAATTAACGATGCCCCATGGCTGAGTTGGTTACAGCGTCCGACTGTTATAATTACCTAACTATCGGAAGGTCATGAGTTCGAGCCTCATTGGGGCAGCTCATTCTTTTTGTTCCCTTACCTCAGTACTTAGTTATGGTCATGATGTCATGCGTCAGGAGCTGCGGCCGGAATTGAATGACAGTGCGGAGGGACACGGTGACTGCAGGCACCTTCAACGTTTCCTCGAAATGCTGCGTATAACGCTCCTTCCTCTCACTTACTATCATGCCTCGAGATATAGAATTGGTTGACATCTCTCAGTCACCTCAGCCCTCGCAGCAACAAACGTCCTCGGATCCCGATGCCGGTCCAGCAATCACCAATGAAGCTCCAGACCAAACGATCACTGTCTGGGCATACGCCTCAACAGTTATGTCCCACAACCTTGGTGGTCACCACGGTGACCTCACGTGACCTCTCAATATGGGATGGTGCGTGTACGAGCCCGTATACTCCCCGCGGGTGGAGTGAACTCGATCGCGTCTGGTAACGTTCCCCCCGCTCCACTCGAGCATGCCGCCCCCGCCAAAACATCGGCCGAACTTCCGCATTTGGCGTGCCGC